AAGAACTTACATTGATTACCAAACCTTCATTTCTTTCACAAGTTTGTTCCCTCTATTTTCATCAATGTATAATATTTGCTACCATTCATAGGCCTATTTTGTTTCATACGCATTCTCGTTTCAACAAAAAGAGCTCGTTCTTACTATTCATATGTATTATAATTGCAAAAGAAAAGCTCGTGCCACAACAACAACAAAGCCTTAGTAAGGTCAGCATTGAATCCTAGAATGCCAATAGAAATAATGTTTTCTCAATGTTCTTCAAGCTTCAACATGTCTAAGCTTCAATCAAACTAGTTATATTATTATGTATTGAGAAAATAACCATCCAGAGGTTAAGAGTTAAGACTTTCATCAATAATGAGCTAGGGAAGAAAACAGTAAACTGCACAAGTTTACTGTGAACACAGGTTTTACAGAAACACACATCGGTTCAGCAAACATTTACCTGACAATAAGAATGTTCCCATAAGGTTCATTCAACCAAATAGGTATAAGAGATCAAATATCTAACGTATTCCAGCTGGACGGAAGTCCAATTTCCAAGCTCCCTCCACAATGCTACATTAACTCGATAAACATAAAACCCAAACCTAAAAACCACAAAGGAAACACAAAGAAAATAATTTCTAGGCCCCTGAAGACCATATGCATTGGCATTTAGCTTTGCCTTTGTTCACATCATCCAAGCAAACAAATTGCACAATGCAGTTTAAAATAAAAAGAACAGTCGGCACATTCGGCCTGAGCTAAATTATAAAGAAGGGTGGGGGGGGGGGGGGGGGGAGCACAGCTCTTTTTATTTACTCATAATGTAGGTACTGAGTATTTCCCCTACACATCTCATGCAACAAGATAATGAGTATAAGTTCATTATTAATCCAGATTATAAGTACACTTAAAAAGCAAACTCTTCCTCTATTAAGAACAATCAGTATATATAATAAGCACATCTAAAAAAATAATAAAAATAAACAAAACCCATTACAACAAAAACATTAAAAATTAAGAAGGGATCTGTACATGTGAAGTTGGACGCAGAAGAAATGGAGTAATGGAATGCTGCTGCTACACCGGTGGAATGTTGGAGAAGGAGAAGCCCTTGTACCCTTTATACGCATAGTAAGCAATCCGCGTGTAATAGAAGCCCGGAAGAAACAAGATCCCACCAAGTATCGCAAAAAATAACCCTGAAATTATTGGAAAAAAAAAAAACCCACCACAAATTAAGAAAAATTTGAATAAAAGGGGTTTTACGGTTAGGGTTTGTGGGTAGATTACCGTGGGCTTTGTCGCCGCCGACATGGTTGTAGGCCATGAGGATGCCGATTACAAGACCGAGAGTGCCGGTGACGAGGAGGGCGAGGGCGAGGGCGATCTCTTTGATGGGAGGCTTGTTGCTGACTGTGTAGGAGTCCTCCATCATCATGTCCTCGTCTGTAATGGAAAACGCGTGATCGACGTACGCCATGGCTGATTGGATTGAGCTGTGAAAACTGGGTTAGGGTTTGTTTGGAATTCGAATTTGGGATTTTAGCTGAATTTTGGGTTTTAGTTTTGTGAAAATTCTAAAGATTGAAGCTTTGGAGTTTTGGTAATGGTCAAAAGAGGACAAGGGTCAGAGTCGGAGGAGGATTGAGGAAGACGAAGATGTGATGGACACGGCGATTTGTGTGGTGCTGCCACGTGACATGTACGGAGTATTACGTCAGGTGTTACGTTTTCTCTTTCTTTATTTTTCAATCAATAAATCGTCAAAATGGTTCCTGAAATTTGCATAACTCATCACTTTGATCCCTGAGATTCCAAATCAATAAACGTGGTCCCTGACATTGTCCATCATCCATCATTTTGGTCATTCTGTTAAAAACTCTGTTAAGTGTCCTAGAGCTCTTGGCCTGTAGTTTGGGCAATTTTCAAAATTTCGTAACTCAATCGTTTCTTAACCAAATTCGACCACTAATATATCAAAATGAAGATAGGAAAGTGCAGAATAAGATTATACCTATTTTGAAGCCCAATGGTTCCCAGAGATGGCCGAAAAATAGCCTCAAAGTTGACTAGTCCGAGTGAAAACTTGAAAACTCGCCGGAAACTGGGTAAACTTTAAACGTTCATAACTTCTTCAATACTTAACGAAATCAAGTGATTCAAAAACAAAAATCACACTTATCGACGAGATGAAGAGAATGGTACATTTTCGATGGCTAACTTGCAGTGGTTTGGCCAGAAAACAGCTCGAAAGTGGCTAACTGGAGACCAAGACAGCCACTTTCGAGCCATTTTCTGGCCAAACCATTGCGAGTTAGTAGTAAAAAAAAGATACCATTCTCTTTGTCTCATTGAGAAGTATAATTTTCGTTTTTGAATCACTTGATTTAGTTGAGTATTGAAGAAGTTATGAACGTTTAAAGTACCCAGTTTTCGGCGAGTTTTCAGAACCAGTCAATTTTGAGGTTGTTTTCTGGAAATCTCCGGCAATCATTAGGCTTCTAAATAGGTATAATCTTATTCTACACTTTCTTATTTTCATTTTGATATATTATGGGTTGAATTTGGTTAATAAACGATTGAGTTACGAAGCTTTGAAAATTGCCCAAACTTCTGGCCAAGAACTCTAAGATACTTAACGGAAGGACCAAAATGATGGATGGTGGACAATCTCAGGGACCACTTTTATCGATTTGGAATCTCAAGGACCAAAGTGATGAGTTATGCAAATTTCAGGGACCATTTTGGCGATTTACCCTTTTTCGGTAGATCACATGATGTATGATACGTTACATAAGTTAATCTCGTGTCACGTACACACACAGCGGATCTTTACTTTGCTTCAATTGGAAGTTCCTATTAACACATGAGTTTTAGTAAACATCTTCACCCAATGCAAGTGGCCCTTTATACAGTAGTGAAAATATATTGAGTTCTTACATGATGGCGTGGATTTGAACTCGTCGATAGTTAATCTAACAAAATCCATCGTTTAACAAATAACAATACAAGTTATGTCACTTAGTACTACGGTCTAGTGATATTCCTCTTTACATGTAAGTGAGAGGTCTTAGGTTTAATTCTCGTCAATGGCGAATTTGAACAACATTATTACTGGTCCATTGTGAGGCTAAGCCCACCCATTTCCCTTAGTGTAGATAATATCGTATGTTGCAAAAAAAAAAAACAATACAAGTTATAATTGTCCACGACACATTAATGTTTTCACAATATTCATAGAGGAAAAGGCTCTCACAACTGAAGTAGTAGCAATCGGTAGAATTAAATGTAATTAGCAATACACATGATTATATACTCTACTCGTCCACGTCTCCACTTTTGCAAGACTGCCAATTCTTTTCAATTGAGAAAATTCACTACTTGAATGCATATCAAAATATAATTCCCAAGTTGATCTTGAAATGCCAAGGGTTGACAAGTGAAAAATTCATTCGGATAAAACTTAGCACAAACAAATTAGCTTTTGTTTATCAAAATCTAATAGAGCTATTTTATCTAGCAATCAGAGTGCATGTATGAAAGGCAACTCTAACCTTCGAATGAGCAGCATTCAAGTTATCCATGGATGTTCGTTGGAGTTCGGAGGGTCAATTGACCCCCTTGCTCCTTAATGGGTCCGCCCCTATGTTCAATGGAATTTCTTTTTATGATTCATAAGTTCAATCATGTTTTTCCTATAGTTTTGTTTCAACATTCATGCTTTTAGTGATTTGAATAAATTGTTAGATTGGTATAATTTCGACGGAGTAGCTTTCTTGATATTTTGTCATCATAGGTACGAAGCCCCAATAAAGAATAGGACAATGAGTTCTTTTGCCGATGGTACCAATAAATAGCACCACTGTAGTGAGCCCCATTTTCGAAGCCTACATTGTCAGGCAGAATGACCAGCACTGCTCTCCAAGACTGATCAGTTTTGGAAGAGTAGATGTTGATCCTGATCAGCTGCTGCGACGATGCCCTCGACTCTTCAGTAACAAAAATGAGATTGTAAAAGGCTGATTTCAGTGGATCAAAAGCCAAGTTGATCAGACTCGCAAGTCCTTTTTGTTGCTTTCACACTTGGGTGTTGAGACACCAACTCTCAAATAACTCAATTTGCACGAAAATTCACTACTCAACAGAGTCCACTGGTGGAAGAATGTACTAATTAGCATTTCAACTCTTGTACACCATGGACAATCCATTATGGTAACCATGGACATCTATGGTAAAACACATACAATGCATATTATTGTTTATGGTAATTACATATACACGCATAACCATAATTAATATAAAGCATGACGCGCCTTACAGATAAGAGCAAACTGGAGACTTCAAATGATTAATGTAAGACATGACGTTTCCTACAGAATAAGAACAAAATTGTCAAATGCTACAGGAAATGAAACGAGTTTATGAAGACAGTGTGCTGCCATTGGAAGCTATCAGAAGTGGTATTCTCCTTTTTGGAGGCATACAATCTAGCAACTAGAATTGTCCAAATTTACATTGGAGGAACGATTCGTACCCTCCAGTAAGTGCCCCTAACCACCAATTTTCTGCTCCTAGTTCGCTTCAACATAAACAATCATATGTGGATCATGTTCAAGTTAGGCCAAAAAGTTGATTCATTGTTGGGTCAAATTGTTGAGGAAAATAAAGAAATCGAGAGTCAACTTTCGGATCAACTAATTTTCTATTAGTTAATGAAAAAGGAAGGTTCCTGCAAACACTCGAGCTAATTCTAAAGGCGATGGTGCAAGTGAGGCCGAAGTTGAGCATGCTAAGTATGTGGTTATTCTTAGGAGTGGTAAAATAATTGACGCAACACTTTCACGGTTTCACCTAAGGAAGTTGAGAAAACTAAGAGTAATGATAAACATGACAAGGTCAAAGAATCTGAAAAAATGATAAGGAATATGCTCTGTTAGACGCTATTAAATAGGTTCCTGCTAATGCCAATTTTTTTACTGACTTATGCACTTATAGAAGAAAGCGTTATGTGAAGAAAAATTGCTTTTTTAGGTTATATGGAATCAAATACAATGCTAAGATTTTAGAAAATTTAATGACAACTTCAACGTGAATTCGATTCCAACTTCTTTTCCCCGTCCCAACCCTTCTTCAATTTAATCTCTCTCATTCTAATTACAGATTAGTAAACAAACTATAAGACACATGTCAAGTTAAGTGGCGGGTATTTTATTGGATCAATTGAGATCCAACCGCGTCACCCTTTCAGTCTCGACAAGCTCTTTTTTTTTCCTCTAGTTTATGCTCCTGAAATCTCAACAATATTGTCAGATAGATCTATCACTTTAAATCGGCGGCTGAATCACGAGTCCCTAACGAGTTACGGGTGAATTCTTCTGATTTCGATGTATGAGAGTAGCACGACTCAATTTGTTGCCAAGAGTACAATTTAGGCCAAATTAAGGTGGCAGCAATGGTAACCAACTAGTGAGAGTATGAATCTCATATCGTCACAAAAATGACACAATTCGGCTTCTCATCCAAGTATTACAGCTACTTGGTTTCACATACTCATTTGCTTTCACATATCAGTCAACCCCCTCCTGATCCAGGCAGTATAATCACAACCGCTGTGCTGCTGAATGGAGTATGGTCAATTCTAAGGCTGACACTAAACCTGCTGGAGAGATCACTGTCTTGGCGTTGGTGCTTTCGCCCTACGTGAGAGTTTTAAATCTAATGTCAACGGCACAAACTACATAAGTTGTTAAATCACACAAACTGCTTAACTCACCACTTACCAGTTCAGTAGTTCTTTACTCTGTTTGGAAGAAAGGAAAAGAAGATGTGAGCCATACCATGTCTTCATCTCTTCCAGTCTATCCTCACTTCTTAAGCCTTCTTCCTTACTCCGCAAATTATATGACCTCCCTAAATTAATATTGGCTGCATATGCTGTAATTATTCCAGATTTTATAAAACAAAAGACATAACTTTCTCATATTAAAAGCCACAATCACATGCATACCTTCATCACGTTCATGCAGAACTTCATTGCATAGAGCATTTTCACGAATTGCCAAGTTTAATCAATATTGTGAACCTTGATTCGGTAACCTGACTGATTGCATCAATAACAGTTGGCTGGGAGTACAACGATTTTCAGGTGCACAATGCTGGTTTCTCTTCTGTCCCCGACTTCGACATGTATTGGTTGATTGATTGTTTCCATATGCTACTACTCTTTGAGTTCTTTGACCTTAACTGGGATGAAGACCCTGTCCAGAGACTTGTTTCCTTATCGAATGGGCAAGTTCTGCTTGAACTCTCGTCTGCACCACCAGATGCATAAAGAGAGGAACCCCATTCTGATTTGACCTTACCTGGTTCTACATTTCTCTCAAATTGATTTTCTTACTGAGGCAAACAATTGAAAGCTGTTCATCAACAGAGGGGAACCTCTTCCTATACCTCGATCCAACTATATCCTGTATGTTTTGGCACACCTCTTTCTATCATTTCCCTCCTTACCTTTGTAGCACCTTCCCAACTACCTCCTTCAGAGTACACCTTCGACAACAGTACATAAGGTGCATCATTTTCTGAAACCAACTGAACTAACTTCTTAGCAGTCCATTCTGCCAACTCTGTGTTCCCATGTATCCTACAACCGCTAAGCAAGGATCTCAATACAGCAGGCCAAGGAGTATAAGGCATCACTTCAATCATTTGTCTAGCATCTTCAAGGTATCTGTGTCGTGAAAGCAGATCAACCATGCAACCATAAACATCCCGAGATACTGGTTCCATCTTGTAATCTGAGTTCATTAACTCAAACAAAGAACGACCTTGATCAACCCAACCCACATGACTACAAGCTGCTATAGCAGACACAAATGTGGCTTGGCTGGGCTTTAGATTTGCCAACCGAATTTTCTCAAAGATATCCATCGCTTCCTCGGCCAGACCATGATGAGCACAAGCCATGATCATAGCATTATATATAACCACGTCATCAGATCCAAGTGACTGGATAAAGGTCATCCTTGAATTTCCAATATCCCCGCATTTTGCATACGCATCTATAACTGCACTAACAACAAAGACTTGCATGAGGAATCCCATTTTGATGACAATGGAATGGACAGCTTTAGCTAACTGATAGCTTGCAGTATCGGCACAACTATTTAGAATGCTTCCCAAAATAAATTCATCAGGCTTCCCACCAACTTCTCTCAGAGAGTTGAAAATCTTTATAGCTTCAAAAAAATGTCCCTGATGCACCAGAGCAGATATCATAGTTCCCCAAGATATCAAATCTAGTCTCTCAAACCCTTTAAGAAACTCAAAGGAATCATCCAGTAGTCCAAATCTAACATAGCACTTAATTAATGAGCTACAAACATATCCATGGAAGGAGATGCCGGACTTGACAATTGCACCATGAATTTGTCTAGTCATATATTGGTGTTCATCATTATAGCAAGCTTCCAGTATGATGGAGAACGTGACTTCACTTGCTTCGACTCCCAAGTCCCATAAATTACAAAAGATCTGCATGGCTTCTGTATAACAATAGTTTGAATTATACCCAGAAATCAACTCATTCCAATAAGTTATGTTTTTGTAAAGTATGCCACCAAAAAACAAGTGTGCCATGTCCATAGCCCCACATCTAGAAAACATATTGATTATTGAGCATCTGACATTAGGTTCATTCCAGAACCCATATTGTAATGCAAGGCAGAAAAACTGACGCCCAAGGTTAAGATCAAGTAGCTCACTGCATTGCCTAAACAAGATTGAGAACGTAATATGGTTCGGCTTCATGTTTTCTAGCATGAACTCATGGACTAAGTTTGCAATTTCTCTTGCATTCTTGCCTTCAAAGAAGACCCCAAATGCGGTGTTCCACGATATGACATCTTTCGTTTGTATCCTATTGAAAACTTGCAAAGCCAAATCTATCCTACCATTTCTAGAGTACATATCCATAAGAGCATTCATGACTGAAGTACTTAATTTCAGCTCACTTTGGATGATCAATCCGTGAAGTTGCTTCCCAAAATCCAAATTTCTGACAACAGAGCAACCCTTTAGAGCATTAACAAAGGTGAACTGGTCCATGCTTATACCTTTGCATACCATCAAACATACAACTTTCAATGCTTCAAATCCATAGCCACATTGCCTGTAACCTCCAATCATAGCATTCCAACCAGCAGTATCAAGATTGCTTATAGACTCAAACACCCCCTTCGCCGATTCAATATCCTCCAACTTAGCATACATATTCAAAACAGAACCACCCACATAGCAGTTCTGTTCAATCCCAGTTTTCAATGCAAAACAATGAACACTCATGCCGAATTCATATGCTTCGATACTAGCACACGCTGCACACCCCTTGAGAACGCTACCAACAGTGAATTCATTCGGCCTCAACCCACTTCTTACCAGTTCCAAATAAACCTCCAAGCCCAATTCAAACTGACCGTCTTGGACGGCAGCCGAAATCATCAAAGTCCAAGTGACGAGGTTTCTCTCAGGCATTTCATCAAACAGTTTGAACGCATCATCCATAACCCCACATTTTGAGTACATTTTGATCAAATTATTGAATAAAAAAAAGTCATTAGTGAATCCCAACTTGATGACACGGGAGTGGATTTGGGTACCAAGAGAAGCTGACTTCAAATTCTCAGAGAGGGAAAGAGCAGCGGCAATGGCAGTTGGGTTTTCACCCATCACGAAATTGGAGGATGAAGTGCAGGATTTTGAACTGTAGAGTTTGGAGATTGCATGAAAGTGTCCGAGTGAAGGGCAGAGGCTGCCTTTTGAAAGTTTGAAGGTGAATAATCCCTTTGCCCACATTGCAGGTTGAAGTTGTGCCTTTTGGGAAAACGGGGAAAATCTTTTGAATTGTATTGGGTTTGTTTCAAAACTTTTTCAAATTGAGGTGTAGGAGTCTCTCATTTCTTTTTCTCATTCATTTCCCTCCCTCTTTCTCACATTTTGCTTTTTGTCTTTTTCTTCTCTATAAAAATATCAATATAAGATGTCAACCTAGTCTGATTGTAACCGTTCAAATATGAGGGAAGAGAGATTAGGAGAAGGAAAGAATCCTCCTCCGTGTAAATTATTGGGGATTTTTTATAAATAAAATAATTGCACAGAAAAGACTACACAAACAAGCGGATGAGGATCTTCTTTGGATCCTTTTTGTGGGGCTCCTAGGAATCCTTACATCATAGCTGTTCATCGTACATATTACGGTCAATTTTCGTTAGATACTATTTGTATTCAATTTTCAATGAAAAATTTAAAATGATTTCTAACCGCACGATGCACGATAAACAATTACAATGTAAGGATCCTAGAATCCCCACAATTTGGATCTAGATGGGATCCAAATCCCAAACAAGTAGCGGCCATCAGAACTAGGGGTAGGTTTGGTACAGTTGCCATACCAAAATTCTTGTGCCAATTACCACACCAAACTTTTGGTATAACAAAATCTATTATAATTACCATACTAAACTTTCGTTATGCTGAATTTCAATATGCTAAACAGTTTAGTTGACATGACATGATATTGGTAATTATCGCTTTGTTTTGGGCCAGTTTATGGGTCAAAATTTGACTTTTTTTAATTCAAGTTTTTTCTATCTTTTATGGCTTTATCTCATATCTTGTGACCTAAATTGAAAAACCTAAATAGAATCTCCGCACTAAGAAACCACAAGCAGCAAGCACACCAACACCAATCCACATAGAGAGTGAGAGTGTCGAAGCAATGAGAGGCAATGAAGGATATTTTTTCTAAACATAATTGAAATATTATAGAATTACATATATATATATATATATATATTATATTATATAACACATGTTTATATTTTTTGGTACAGTACGGTAATATTATCGGTAATGGTATCGAATACCAATACCGTACTAAAAAAATTTCAGTTTGGTATAATACCGTGCCCTTACCAATTAGCACAAAAAATTTGGCAGAAAATCGGTATGGTACAGTCAAGGTATAAAATATCGATGATATCAGAAATATCGGTAGTCAAAAAACATGGAAGTTTCGATGGAAATATCCGGATATTATCGATGTCGATAAAAATTGAATAAAAACCACGGAAATTGTAAGAAAAACTTGAAAATTTTTATTGAAATTTTGCAGGATGTTTATTTAGTCAATTATCTATTAGTTTATCACAAAAAAAATTGGAAGGAAATGCATTGCATGATGGATTTAACTGATTTAAGTTGATTATATAACGAGCTGACAAACATTGTGAGTGTAGAAAATATGTAGTAATTAATGAAAGAAGTTTAAACACATCATAATCATTTATATATAATAAATTAGTACAATATTTTACACTTTATACATTGCATGGTAAGATACATGAGTGACTTAGTAACACATAGAGTTCCTATCAAGGTCTAAAATATCGATGATATCGAAAATATCAGTAGTCCAAAAACACAGAAATTTCAATGGAATTATTGGGATAATATCGATATTTTAGACCTTGAGTACGGTTGACAATTCGATTAACATGATAATTTGACAATAAAATTCACCCCTAACCCAGAACAACACAAGGCAGAGACAACAACGGTCCACCAATGTAGCAACAAAAGAGGGAAAGAGTACGCACCCAATGTAACGCTATAAGACCCTTTAAAATTTTAGTTGTCAATGTCATTTGTATCCCTTAAGTATATTAGATGCCGCTTCCATTTACCATGCTGCTGCGCAACACTGAATTATACTTGCAGTAGCACCCAATCACTAAGGTTTTCCTAGGGGTGGTTCGGTATGAGATACCAAACTGAAACTCGTGTCCCGATTCTCAAACCGAAATTTTTGGGAATCTCAAATTCAATACTGATCCCAAACCAATTTTTCGGGAATCCAGAAATAATTTCGGGATTTCGGGACAAATCGGGAATCCCAAAATGATTTTGGGCTTTTGGGCTTTTGGACTAAAATTTGACATATTATGTTTTGGGCTAAAATTCAACCTTTTATATTGGGCTGCCAATCTGTAGTAGACTAAATTTTCTTAATAAATTTCATAGGCCATTGTAAGTTACAAGTATACAACCAAATCAATATGTTGCAATAAAAATAAATTTAATCTGTAACTTACAATTTAATCTGTGCACAGATTAAATTTCATGGAGGACATGAGCATCAAAATTCTCATTAGTCATTAACGTGCATTTCACTCCTCCTTCCCCTCCTTATCTGTCCTAGTCATTTACAATGCCAAATGCCAAACTTTTTCGTGTTTCCCATGCACACACAGACACAAATATATACATTCACACCAGGAAGGATAAATCATACACAATTTATAGCAACGGTTGAGATTAAATCTCAACATAATCCAACGGCTATTAAAATTCTAAATATATATTTAAAAATTAAATAATATATATATATATTTTTTTCAGTTCGGTTTGGGATTACCGAAATCCCAAAAACTTGAGACCGATTCTCGTACCGAAATTTCGGGATCGGTTCGGTATTGGGTACCAAAATTTTTGGGAATTTTGGTTTGGGATTTTTTCAGTTCGGTTTCGGGATTTTTTCGGTTTGATTTGGGATTTTTGGGATTTTTTTCCAGCCCTAGGTTTTCCCATCTTATCCATTCACTCATATTCTTCCTCAACTGTCGTTCATGTCGGAAATTAGAGGCTCTCTAATTTGGAGGCTTTTGGAGAATCATTCAAGCAACCAAATTTAAGAATTCCCGGAGGTAACAACATGTAGATGGATTAGCATACAACTTCATTAAATTGTTGATGAAAATTCAATTAAAAAATGATCATTAACAAAATGATACATACTTATTGAGAATATATGTTTGTTTCTTAAAAACAAAATGACACGTTATAGTTGCAGTTGCATGACAATCAAATGTGAAATAAGTATTAACTATATATAAGAAGATTAGCAATTCCTTCTCGTCCATCATCTATCTCTTGCCTATAAGTAAAATTTTCATCAACAATCTCTTCATCTCTATTATCTTCCTCATGTCTAGGCAGAAATAGCTTATCATCATCATCATCATAAGGTTGAAACTCTTGATCTGTCAGATAACGATTCCTAATAAATTGTGTAAGATCATTGAAACAATCAACAATTTGTACCTGTTTTTCAAAAGGGAAGTTATGTATGTGACGAATCATTGTCCATCTATTTTTCCGAACACCAAATTTTTTTACTATCGTCCATCTTAGAGATGAATGCCTTTGGTTAAATATCTCTTTTTCCCACTTGGCAAACTTTCATTTTGAAATTCAGAAAGATGATATCATTCACCCAAAATGACAATATTTGGCCTATTATATGTCACTTCTCTTTAAGCAATACAACCGCCAAATAAACTTCAATTGCCAAAATTTGCATAAGCAAGGGAACTTTAACAAAAAGCCCCGTTATTGTTCACTTTAATGAAAAACCACATTTTTGCACTAAAAAATCAATCATGATACTATTTACTTTACACTTTATTTTGTCCTTATCGTTAAAACTCAAAGTTTTTAAAGCCATTTTCAATAGTTTTCCTTAAGTAAAGTAATATTGTTTGTATAAACAATCGATCACACGCCATATTGTCATCATAATAACTAGCAGAGAGCACACACTTTGTGTATGTGAACAATTTCTCTTAATAAGTGCATTTTTTTAATATTATATACTTACTATTTTGTCCTCCTTATGTAAATATTGTGTATCAAACGTGAGGGTAAAATAGGAAAAGTAAGTATAAAAAAGAGGGTAAAATAGGAAAAATTGGGATATGGTTGCCATTTTATCAAAAGGTACAAAATTACTATTTTGCCCTCACTTTGTCAATAGTGTGTAACATCCCACATCGCCCAGGGGAGTGGATCCTCTAAGCCTTATATGTATATTCTCATCTCTACCTAGCACGAGGCCTTTGGGAGCTCACTGGCTTCGGGTTCCATCGGAACTCTGAAGTTAAGCGAGTTCGCGCGAGAGCAATCCCATGATGGATGACCCACTGGGAAGTTCTCATGTGAGTTCCCAAAAACAAAATTGTGAGGGCGTGGTCGAGGCCTAAAGCGAACAATATCGTGTTACGATAGAGTCGAACCCGGGATGTGGTGGGGGCCCAGGTCGGGATGTGACAATTTGGTATCAGAGCCAATCCCTAGCCGGAAGTGTGCCGACGAGGACGTCGAGCCCATAAGAGGGATGGATTGTAACATCCCACATCGCCTAAAGGAGTGGATCCTCTAAGCCCTATATGTATATTCCAATCTCTACCTAGCACAAAGCCTTGGGAGCTCACCGGCTTTAAGTTCCATCGGAACTCCGAAGTTAAGCGAGTTTGCGTGAGAGTAATCTCATGATGGGTGACCTACTGGGAAGTTCTCATGTGAGTTCCTAGAAACAAAACCGTGACGGCGTGGTCGGGGCCAAAAGCAGACAATATCGTGCTACGGTGGAGTCGAGCCCAGGATGTGATGGGGGCCCGGCTTAGGATGTGACAATTTGGTATCAGAGCTAATCACTGGCCGAAAGTGTGCCGATGAGGACTTCGGGCCCCTAAAGGGGATGGATTGTAACATCCCACATCGCCTAGGGGAGTGCATTCTTTAAGCCTTATTTGTATATTCTCATCTCTACCTAGCATGAGGCATTTTAGGAGCTCATTGGCTTCGGGTTCCATCGGAACTCCGAAGTTAAGCGAGTTCGCGCGAGAGCAATCCCATGATGGGTGACATTTTGGGAAGTTCTCGTTTGAGTTCCCAGAAACAAAATTGTGAGGGCGTGGTTGGGGCCCAAAACGGACAATATCATGCTATGGTGGAGTCGAACTCGGGAAGTGGTGGGGGATCGGGTCGGGATGTGACAATTTGGTATCAGAGCTAATCCCTAGCTGAAAGTGTGCGGATAAGGACGTCGGGCCCCTAAGGGAGGCGGATTGTAACATCTCACATTGCCTAGGGGAGTGGATCCTCTAA